TACCTTCGTGGGGTTATTTATGGAGTAGTACAGGTGTTAGTGTACGTTTTTCTGTTTTGTGAGTGTGTGAGTGAAGACAGATTCCCACGCGCCAAGAAATGAAAACCCAAGTATAACAGCAAGTATATCTGACCAATGCTGACCCAGCCGAAACAGTCCTGGAAAAATTGCGTGTTTTGTTTTTGTCGTTTCTGTGATGTCTGCAGAAAAACCAAATCTACTTCGGTATGCAAAAATGCGTTCTGGCAGAAAGTTAATCATAAATAATGTAGTGAACTATTGCCGCGAAGAAAAGGAAAAAGAGTTATTAATACCATTAGAAAGACCTATAGCTAGAGATGCAGTACAATGCACTTTGACTTCGGCAATACACGCCATTCAGGAAAGGCATTTATTTGTTGTATGTATATATTTGTATTTCTCTGCACATATATTTTACACAATAGTTATGGTCTTGTCCGCATCTTCTCTGCCGTACCCTGTAATGAGAGGACCTATATCCCGCTCACCGTCACCTATATCCTATCTAATCGATTAGTATCTACTGTAGACGTGCGGTTGTCGTTCAGTCGGCGGTGTCTCATGTAAGCAGATCGCAGCGCTTCGCCTGCAAATGTGAAGTGAACGAGTAATACGTCCGATGCGACTATTTTGTTAGCGCCGCGATCGCGGAGACTTTCGCTCGGCCGACGGGTCCACTCACCGGGCAGCGGTGCACTGAGAACGCTGTGGGTGGGAGAGTTTCGCCCTGCAAGAGGCATACTTCTCACTTTTCAATAGACGGGTTGTGATGGCTCGCTCGAAGATCACTCTCAAACAGGAAGTGCTTGGGCATGACACGTACGTAAAATGTGTCAAACCGTTATGTGCATTGTGACCTGGAGACTTTTTCCCATATGTTGACAAATGAAGAGTGTAATTACGGGAAGTTTCAACAGGACTCCGCAACCACCCACACTGCTTCAATTGCCGTAAGGGTTTACGTACCGTTTATGGGGAAAATTATGACACACGGTCTGTAGCTTGCACGACGCTCTCCTGCTCTGACTCAATGCGATTTTCTTCTTTGGGGATTCCTGAAGGATCTCTTGTACACGACAAATCCCCACACGGAAGAATTAAGGTAGAATATACAGCAACAGGTATTTGCCATACCTTCCTTTACCGAGTGAACCAGAACTTATTTAGATGTCAAGAAAGTATCAGAGCCGCGGTGAGCAGTTCCAGCATTTACTATAACGTGAGTGCAATTTAAACTTTCCGGTAGCGAGAAGCCACCTTTCCTCTAAAGGGATTCTAACGTCCGCCCCGTCTCGATTTCCCGTGGCCATTCCCATGCGACCGAGCTCATTTATACAAAGGTTGCCCTGTATTTGGCAATTGAAGATCCCACCGACTGTGAAATACATGCTGTCATCCATTTTTTGTGTACAAAAGCCGTTAAATCACTCTTAGAAACAGATCCCATTAAACGTTTTAGACGAAAGACAATTTGTTTCTTCAAATTTCTTAAAATGGATCATTTAAAAAAGAATCTTCTCTAGAAATAGCTTTCTAAATTTCTAAAAATTATAAAATTTTTGAAAACATTTCAGCATTTTAAACTATGGATAAACTTCCCCGACGATTCACTACAAACTAGTGTAACGAGGTATCTTCTTTTGGGCCTTAAAATATATTTTAAAAACTAGTAAATTTGAGTTTATGTTAATAATCTAGAACTCAACTTAGGTTAATGTTATACTTTTAGAAATTAGCATGAACTGAAGATGGGGGCGGAAAATCTCTCGAAACGTTGAAGACTAGAAAAACATTAACGTATGATTAATTTTGAATTTATTATTCGTTTCTTTTAATTAGAGACGATACAAAAATATATGAATAATACAGTAATAACAACTAAACAATCAAAAAACATAGGTAAGTATTAAATTTTAATTGTTATGAAATAACATAACTGAAGAAGAAAAATGTGTCTAAAAATTTTAAAGGAACCTGTTCTTAAGAGAAAGTATAAAATTGTATAAAAGCCGTTAAACCTGCCGAGAATCATCGGTAGATTAGTGAATTGTATAGAGAAAGCATTCTGCCCGATGGAAAGGTAAGAAAATAAGAAAGTTTTGTTTATTTATTTAAAGATGTCCATATTGTTCATGATGTGCGTAATCGGTTACCTAAGAGGACAGTTATTGGTTACTTTCGTTCTTTACTGAGGTTTTGATGCATAAAGGTGATGTGAAAGTTAGAGAAAAAAAATGTATGAGTTAGTCTTTATCTAATGAGTTTTCGGAAGTTTCAAGGAATGTTTATGAAATTGTGTCACCCGCTAAGTGGCTTAAGGCATCAACTGCTGTCACTATAGTGCCTCTGACCAAGAGGTTCTAGAGTTAAGAGTCCCGGCGATAACGGAATTTTCGACACTAGCCAGACAGATAAGTGAAGTTGTCACTGTCTGGAGATTAATTCTAGCGACCGGCTGCACTGATCAGTAGTTTTCCGTGGTTTATCTGATGAACACCAGGAGAAGTATCCCAAAAACGGGCCACGGGCAGCGCGTCATCTTCCTTTCCTGTTCATTGTCCCATCCTTACCCTTACTTTCACACTCACATACACCACACTACCGCATTCGTCGGGGTCTTGGGGTCTGAGGCAGTAGAACCGGCGCCACGCTGACGGGTAGGTCGGCGCCGGACCCCGCTACCCATCGACATGCACTACACTTATGGGACCACCGTCCTTGGCAGTGGACGCGCCCGGAATCACTAATCAATCAATGGAAATTTGTGCTCACGCGGTACCAAAATTGCTGACTAACGGGCAAAAAATTTAACGTTTAGCCGATGCCTTGACTTTCCGTGAGCGGTATCGTGATGAAGCTGACGATTTTTAAGCAAAATTTTCACTGGCGACGAATCATGAGTATCTTATGAGACTTCGGAATTGGAACACCAATCCATGGAATATGAACGTCACAAAAGTGAAGTTGAAGCAACTTCAGAACACAAAATCACATATCCTATGTTTGGGATTAGGTAGAGGGCTTGTGAACTTATGTTTCGGGTTAACACAGAAAGTTCGTATGCACACTGTGACACCTTAACAACCCGAAACATAAGGTGAGGCATGCTCAGTAAGGGGGCAAGCTGAGCGACATGGCCCGTTTACATGTGGCTCGTCGAACCCAAGTTTCCACCGCATCATTTGCCTCGGAGCAACTTGACAAGCCTCCGTGTAAACCTGACCTGATCCCAGAGACAGCCATTTGCACCTTCACTTGAAAAAGATAACGTATACCTACAGCTCCACAGTAGATTTTAATGTGCCAGTAATTGTGGAATAATTGAGAATTTAACCCAAAATTGTTCAATTTTGGTTATTTTTGGACCATCAAAACATGATGCTTTAGTAACCATTTATTCGTTAAGAGTAAGAAAAGTTATACCAGACATTTCTTGTGAACACGAATATGCATTTCCTCATAACGTGATTTTCAACTCTTCGAAATAAGTAAACATTATCAATCTTTAAATGTCAACTTAATTAAAAAGTAGCAAATATAAGAGAATTGATAAGCGAGTGCAAATACAGGCAAGAGGTAGTACGTTTCCTAGGATAGAATAAAAACAATTATTCCTATCAGTCAAATGCAGTAACATTATACACTAAATATTTATAATGTGCTTTTATGCTGTATATTTATTGACTTCAGGAAAACGCAAAAAGAAATTAACTTCTGCATTTTTTTTTTTTTTTTTTTTTTTTTTTTTTTTTTTTTTTTTTTTTTTTTTTTTTTTTTGTAATCATCAGATATTCTGACTCGAAATATTCAGATTTATTGAAAATTTCATCTATACCATTTTATTAAGTCCTATACCACATTGCTCTATTCGAGCTTTGGAGAGGCGGGGGTCGCTCTGGGGTTTGTAAGTGTAACATCAACTGGAAGTGATAATTTCAAATTGTATTAATTTGAATGTAACAAAGAAAATTTTCAAACGAAAAAACTATTCTCGGGAAATATAAAAGGGAATTAGGAATAAAAAAATGTTCTAGAAAGTCTGAACTTTATTTTTACAATATGTTATGTAATTGAATGTTATAAACTAATAAATATATTTCTAGAAATTCTTAATACGTTTTCGTAAAAGTTTAAAGTCTTTTGAAGGTATCAAAATTGTATAAATTGAACTGTGGAGAGTTAACTTTCAAAAAATATCTTATATAAAGAAGACTGATAAAGCTATTATTTTAACAAATGTGATTTATTGTGTCGTCACACTGGTTTGAAGACAATCGAAAAAATATTAAGGTAAAATCATTTGGTTTCCAATACTTCAAATTTTCATATTTTTCCTTGTAGGAAGATAAGGTTTAAAGTTAAGTCAAGGGTCGAGAAGACAATGCTTTTTTTCTCACTATCAGATCTTGGTTATTTTGTATGCATTCTGATACTCTCCTTAATTTCAAACATTAGACTGGTTTATCTAAACCTTGTTTTGCTTTGATTCAGTACATGTGTTAATAGGAAATCAGCAGAGTAGAAATTAGTTTGTTAAAAAAAATAGTCATTTATGTGTGTAAATATTTTTTATATACACCGTAAAATAGTTTGGAGAGATCTCCAGTTTCTTAATATATTTCTTGAAACCACTAAACAAACTTTGCAAGTTAACTATATAGAAATTTCAGTCACTGTCACTGCAACAACTTGAAAGCAGCTTATCACGAAGAAGACTTAACCCAGCATGATTCAAGTGTACAAGGTCAGGCCTGCTCTGCAAGATGTCATACCACCTGAAATACATTGCAAAGCAAGGACAAACGTTTTTTTTTATTTTTTGCCATTCAGTGTCCAGTAATGGGCAATTTGCCTCCTAATACGAGGTAAATTCTGTTTCCTTGTAGTTCCAGTCATTATTGTGCAAGTGTTCACTATTGTAATATCAACAATACAATTTTCAAATCTTACGTTCAAGTTAAAATCTGGACGTTAATTTACAGATATTATGAGTCCTAATGAAATTTGTCTGATTAAACATATTTACAATTTTTTAAGATGAAGAAAGCTGATATGTCAAAAAGTCAGGATTACATCACCGGGAGAGGTGACTCAGGGCATCAACTGATGCCACTGCAGTGCGCCTCGCCGGGAGGTCCAGGGGTTCGAGTCCCGAGACTAGGTGGCAGGATTTCCGACACTTCCTCGGACCAACCAGGTCGAGGTCACTGTCTGGAGGAGAATTCTGGCTGTCGGCTGCTCTGATTGGTACTGTTCCGTGGTTTCTCCGGCCAACACAGGCGACTGCCGGTGCAGAGCCCTAACAAACGGGCAACGAACCGCGAGCGTTCTTTCCTTCCGCTTCCCGGTCCTATCCACTTACACTTGACACGCAGTACACTAACATACATGCCAGGAGACCGGTCGGGCGCTCAGAGCTCGTCCCGGTTGGGGAGGTGCCCCTGGCGGGAGATCTCTGGTTGGGGAAACTCGCTAGCCGACGGTAGGTTGGCGCCGAATCTCGTCATCGAGCCGAGGAAGATCACCGCCCCCTTCCTAGGGAAAAATGCACTACGCTTACATAACTAATGACTTTAGCAGCTAACGCGCCCTAAATCACTAACAATCAATCAATTCACAGACAGATCGGTAAGCAGAAGCCGCCTCTACATTTGGACTGTGTTTAACATTTGTTGCTATGATGACAATGATCCGAGAACTGTTCTGAGATAAATAAGTTACCTCTAACTCCAACAATGGAAACAGTTTTTTGTTTCTCTTTCTTCCTGGGCCTTTTCCCAGCCTCATTGGATGTCGATTTCGACTATCCGCGCGGGGTATTCTCACTAGGTGGAGACACATTTTAACCTTTACACTAGACACACTTACGGGGTCCTCGGAATGAGGTCAGCTACCACACATACATGAATGGCGAGGGACAAACAACCCTGCCCCCGGCGGGATTGGAACCCACGACCCTTCCGACCGAGGCGCGGAGTCGCCTCACGCTCTAGCTCCCTCGGCCACCCAGGTGGCCTGAGCATAATTTCAACGTTACTATACGATAATCTAAAATGGAACATACCTCTCGAAATAATTAATATTGGAGTGGTCGTCATTAGTTTGAAACGATCTTGTCATGTCAATACAAATTATGTTTGCATATTTTCTTGGAAACAGTTTCAAGAAATCATTGAACTGCTTAAATTTCATTCTGAACCATCTATCATCTTCCAGTTTTGGAATGGGAGGAAGTGTTAAGATAATCAGCCTCCGTACTGTCTCTTCAAGAATGTCCACCAATTGGTCAAAGCAAAATTTCATTTTCTCAATATCTCTTCCCTGGAAAACAAAAAAAATAATTGTGCTTTTAGAGTCACTTTTCATCTATTTCATACTTAAAGTTCAATCATGTACTTCAAAAAGATCCTAGAGAATCACATATAATACAAAGAATTAGCCTGATTAGAATTGCAGAATTATTATATTCACTTACAATATAACCAAGTTATTTTGAACCTGCGAATTAAACTGGCTATAATTACAATTCAAGGCAATATTTCAAGCATTCTTCTAAAAAAATTCCCAGATTTCTTACTGCAAGGAAATTACAATTTTTTGAAGCTCCATTTTATTCAACAATTACTTATTTACAGATATCACTGTGGTATTCAAATTAAAATGATACTGTATGCTTAATTCAAGTATTATTTCGAATGTGAGGCCTTAAATTGCTACAAGGAATGCGGGAGATGTTCGTTGTTTTTTTTTATATTCTTAATGGTATTAGTGTTAGTGATGCGACGTCTATAACATAACATCCTTGTGACCAAACATCGATGTTCAAAATTTAGAAGTCGATTTTAAAATTACATCGACTAAAAACCAACAATGTTTTTAGACTAGTTTAGTAACTTATATTACATTTGTGTGCATTAAAATTCAATTTGGTAGAGTGCGTGTTTATCAATTCGCAGGTTGCAAAGGTACGAGGCACGTTTATTGTTAAAAAAAAAAGTACGAGAAGAAGAAGAAGACCGTACGCCCTCAGTTCATTTGTTGACCACTTCTCAATATGCGAAATTAATATGAAGAACGAGGAAATACATGGCATGCAGGTCATCTCGGGCGAGAGAATTAGGTCGATGTATGAAGTGCAAACAGCGTTCCTTTGGTTCCAACGCATTAAGTGTTACCATCAGTTATTATTTCATATTTTAACTTTTACAGTATTGTGATCGCGGGGATTTTCAATACAGAACAAAACATTGGAAAAGGAAAACATTGATCACAAAACATCGGCGTTGTTTCTACAAAAAATATCGACGTTTTGAGAACATGGACATGGTTGTCGCATTCCTAATTTGTGCGTCTGACCTGGAGCAAATCATTGGTCCCAACCAGCAGAACGACCTTGTTCCCGAGGGCGGCAACCTCGGACTGCACGCGCCGCCTCAGCTGCTCAATGGTCTGCCCGCTCACGCACAGCCCCAGGCGGTGCAGGATGGCATCTGGAACACGGGGGCCAGTCGCAAACGACACGCAGGGGGACTCACAGGGCGCGGGTAGGAGATCAGAAACGCACCCTGCGTCACGTCACGGCCCTGCGTCTCATTTCGCGAGTAGCCTTACAGGCAGCTGCGTTCGTAGGCTTCCACGGCAAGAGTCAATACATTCTTGGCTATCCGGGATGAGCCGCAATTGGGCTGACGTTTCGGCAGTATAGCTCTGAAGAAGGCCACAGCAAGATGGCCGAAACGTCGGCCCAATTGACCGAGACGCGGCTCATCCCGGATGATCAAGAATGTATTACAGGCAGGTAAACGCGGACAACCAAATTCCTCAGCTATCACGTTACGAGGGAGCGGGTGTCTATGATTTTGCATATTTTTGTCCAGAGCTTCCCGGTATAGCGAAGTGAAATTTTTTGACCTTTAGTTCGAATTGGATGCTATGTAGATTAATGTGTTAATGTATATTTGGCGGATTTTTTCCTTGCGGTGAATATTCGGGTAATTATAAGTGCATATTTTGCATATTTCGTTAAAATAGACTTACGAGTATATCTAACGTTTCATCTTTTTATAGAATCTATTATTTGTGAGCGTCCATTGATTAGAAAGAGCTTATCACAGTTTGCGTTTCCCCCCTATTTTCTTTAATGATAAAATATTTGTGTAAATGAAAGATATTTTTTATAGCATTTTTTTAACCAAGCAGAAGAAACGCAACAAAACATACAATGTATTCCACGAAGGTGAATATGACTTCAATTTTTCTCCCTAGATGTAAGGTAGATTATATAATGTTTGCACAAAAAAAATCTTTCATACCAAGCATTTTTCTCGATAATTTTATCAAGAAAAGTTTATACAGGAAATGAAATATTGTTAGTTTTAATTTCATATTAAAGTGCATATAAAAGACTTTTTGGGTCATAAATTCATATTTTTAAAAGCATATTTAGGGCATAAAAATCATCTCCCTACATATTACATAACATCTGAACAGTTATTTATTGAATCGATCATCTGAGGGTGAGTATTTTTTTCCGAACCCGGTGAATAAAATACCAATCATATTACATAAACTCATTCATATAGTAACAATAATTTCATGAGTTGATCCGTTTACTGTAGGGTGACTATTTTCCAGGATGCGTCAATTATTTAGACTATTTAGGGGTTCCCAACGGGGTCGGTATCGACCCCTGGAGGTGAATACGAATCGGCTACTGATTAATACAACCGAGATTCCGTTGACTAGAAAGGATATTAATGAACTTGATAAGTAATTTTCAATTTCATTAATACACAATAATGTTTATGATATAAAGCGAAAACGTACAACAATAAATTACAAATACGCAGCTATTCTTTCAAATCCGTGTTTATCCCCCAGAATTAGAATGTGTAGAAAACTGAAGAAATTATAACTACGCATTTAAAACGAAAATTAGAAACTCAGCTTCTCTAAACCAGCGACGTTATAATTAAAATTACGAAAATCAAGATGCTTAGGAGAATATTCAAGTACAAAATTGTTATCTTAAATGCACTTATAAGCAATTCTTTATTTGGATGCTTTACATTAAGAGGAAATTAAGCGGTCGATGAAGCAAACAATTCTCTTCAAAGGGGACAATGAAAGATAAAGGTTGGAAATCCCTGATTTAGAGTAAAGCCGTAAGTGTAGTGTGTGCTGGGAGGCGGCTGTAATCCTCTCGCGCTTGAACCTGAGATTCGCCTTCACGTGAGGTTTAGTTCCCTCCACAGGTGATGCCCTAGCCGGGACGAACTCCGCGCTCTGCAGTCCACACAAGAGGCGGGTGAGAGGCGAGCACAAAGCGGAGGAAGGAAAGGATCCGTTTGTTAGTATTCTATTTCCTGCCATTGTTGGAAGAAGCCAAGGAAAACAGATAAAAGTAGTAGTAGTAGTAGTAGTAGTAGTAGTAGTAGTAGTAGTAGTAGT